GCTTGTTCCTTTCAGAATAACAGGTAATAACAATAATGATAATAAAAAAACACTATAAAGTTGCTCTCATATCAAACAATACAGCTTGTGAGCTATTATTCAAAACAGATGCAGTAATTTTATAGAACAAGAACTAAGTTTGAATAAATTATTTTAGAAAGCAAAACAGTTTGTGAGGTTTAGAAACCTAAAGATGAAATATAACAAACAGAACTGAAACTGCTCATCACAGTATATTGCTTTTAAAAGAAGTGATGGAAGAATTTAAAGTCTTACCAGCCGTAATGCACCGAAGAATCTGGAGATGACTAAATGGCAAACTGTGGGAGGATAATAAAATTCTCTCAGAGCTCGAGTTTCTTTCTCCGATCGTTAACACAGTATCCTCTGTCCTGCTTCTTCTCACATGCTTCAGCCAGAGGGCTGCTCATCCATTTTTCTTTGTAAACAGGAAACCTTGCATGTAGGTCTGCAGCTAAAATGACTTGGTATTATTTAACGCTCAAAGGCTAAAATGTCTTGCACCATCACATGATCTGATCCTTTTTCATTCATTGTCACAAAATGTATACTTTTTTTATTACAGTCAGTACAACAATGAATTAAAATCTCCTCTACAGTTATTTTTAGTTCAGGTTGCAGTAATCTCACATTTTAATCTAAACGTGCTTCAGTAAAAAAAAAAAAAAAGAGTCTCTCTGTTCCAGCAGGTAAAATGAAGACAATGTCTTTGTGCAAATCAGGTTGCAAGGAATGTCCTCAGGGTGTAAGCAATAACTGGTTCAYCACTGCTTTGTGTATCCTGGAAACAACTTCAAAACTAGGCAAGAGCGCAGCAGCCTGGGCCAGCTGGGGCAGCTGTGTGTAGGTGGAGGTGCGCAGGTACTGAAAAAGGTCCTGGAAGCCGTGGAGATGAGCGGTGACCTGAGGGGGCACGCCTAAAGACAGCCCCAGCTTCCTCAAAGTGTGCACGCTGTCGGGAGAGTCGAGCAGCAGGGACAAATCCTGGACCGAGTCGAAGTCCAGCATCTCGATACTCTGACCTGGAAACATTCAGAAGAGCGGTGAAAAAAAGCAGCTGCTCATAAYAAAACTAAGCTGTGATTGATGGGAAACAGGAAGTACGTACCTTGAGCGATCTCCCAGATTTYCTGCAGCTTGTGCTCCATCTGGTTTTGACATAGAAAAGGAGGCTTATTCTCACATGCATGCAGAGTCAGAATGAGCTCATTTTAATAAATTTAACCAATGAAACTGTCTGAAACATAAAAAAGCTCAGTGATAATACACTTTAGAACTTATCAATTTAAATTTTATTTTATTACAGACATTGATRCCCCCAATTTTTTCAAAGGGGTGGYCATTACATTTTACATTGATTAAAGAATGCATGGTTTGTGGGAAATGATTGTTTTTGTAATGGAAGTGGGGAGCAATGGGATTGCCATTAAAGTTGCAGGAGATTACAGTGAGAAACATCACATCATGCGCTTAAATTTGATTTTATTCAACATAAATTGTTTTATTATACTTTATACTCTTTTGAAATTTGTTGAATCTAGATTTAGAGATTAAACAACTATAATATGCACGTAATCATAAAACATAGAGTTAATGAAAACAGGTGACAAACAGATATCAGTACTTAAAGATCCAATAATTTCCTTTGTGATGGAATAATTATGAATGGATATAGATAGGACCTTGAGGGACTACAGGTGAAAACTAGCCTCCATGGCTAATTCTGGCATTTTCTGTAATATGCATTGTCCCTTCTTAAATAAATAAACAACAATAATGTTATAGTTCTTATTTGGCTTAGTTCATCAGCAACTTAAATGAATAAACAAAATAATTAGAATTTGGTTAAAAAAATATGTTTTTTCACAAGATCACCTTCGAATGACCTCCAAACAGAAGTCTGGTGACACAGATAATTCAGTAAAACTGAATGTTTCTTGTCAGTTTTTGTTTCGTTGACTCTAAGAATTAGATCCATGGCTGCAGGATACCTCTTCTGTCGTGAAGCTGTGTCGCCCTTCCAGCGTGATGCTGTCGGTTTTCTGGCTGCATGGCTTAATGTTGGTGGTGACGTTGATCACAATAGACGTGGGGTGCAGCTCACTCTCGTGGCTCACTGAACTTTGGGGTCTGCGCACACAGGAAGTACAAATGAATATGTTGGAACCGGATAGAGAAAAACAACAAAACTGCTTTCCTTCACAGAGCTTGCCTCGYTGATACGGCCTCCGGCGGGAGGTCTGGACGTGTCGTTGGGTTCTCTGTGTGGCCGGGCAAAGATTCATACTGAAGACTGGCTGCAGACAAAAGCCCCTCTGGTTTGGTGCAGTCCTCGGGAACCTGCTCTGATCAGTGTAGCAGGAGAACCAAGTGAAGGGAACWAAAAGTAAGAAGGTGGAACTGACAGAAACGTTGAAGGTTTTTAAACTCACTGAATCTCTCAGCAGTCAGAAGGACAACCCAAAGCAGCAGAGAAACCAAAAAAACCAAAGATGCTACTGCAGCACCAACCAGGACCACAGAAAGATTTTCATCTTCTACTTCTGGAAAAAAACAAAACAAAAAAAATCACAGTCATTTCAAATTTATTTAAATAAAACAAACTTCTCAAGTGGAGGGAGTAGCTGGGTGTCTTATTGGGACCTCCTCCTCAGTAATGAAGGCGTCACTCATTGTGAAGGAAGAGCTGCGTTCAAAAGCAAYGCTCTTCTTTTATTGGTCTGTCTGCATTCTAACCATCACCTGGGGCCTTGAGGTTTGGATCATGACTGAAAGAACGAGATCCTAGATGGAGGAAGCCGAAATGAGCTTCCTTTGTAGGGTAGCCAGGCTCAGGATGAGGAACTTGAAAGGTGGTTCATCTGATTAGGATGCCTCCTGGGYGCCTCCTTTCAGAGGTTTTCTGGGTACGTCCCACTGGTGGGAGGCCTCCAGGAAGTCCCAAGACTATCTTGAAGGATTGTGTAACCTCTCTGGCCTGGGAACGCCTCAGGGTCCCCCAGGAGGAGCTGGAAAGTGTTGCTGGGGAAAGAGATGTCTGGGTTTCTCTCCTGGACCTCTTGCCTCTGTGACCCGACTACAGGTAAGCGGCAGAAGGTAGGTGGATGAATGTCCTGATGCATCTCAGTAATCCAGGTAGAAAAAATCAAAAAGAAAAAATAAGTAGGTCCTCTGGATGGGTTCTTCTTTTGTGAAACATTTCATCTCTCCTCCAAGAGACTTCTTCAGTCTGATGAGTTTCAGGTGAACTCAGCTTTATAAGCACTGCCTCCACATGGACAAACAGGTTAGTCACATGCAAAAGAGGGCCATAGCCTAACAATAGGCTTGGTTAGCTCTATAGAGGGTCATGTGCCACATCACTTGACTTATTGGTTTGGATATTTTGGCTGTGGTTATTTGGTGTTTTGTTATGTGTATGTAGTGAATGCAGGTGGGGCTCGACGTCCCCTTGTTTTTGTCTCTATTTCCCTCTTTGTGTTGGTATCGTTGGGGCCCTGATTCACACCTTTTGCTCACAGGGGGCKGAGTCATACTTGCAATAACAGCATTGTAGGAGGAGGACAACTGGACACGGAGGCCTCCACCTCTGTTTAATGGTGGACGGATGGATAAAATAAACCAGTTTACTCACCTTTCTCTGGAGGATCTTTGATGCTCCTTTCAGGCACTGAGACGATGCTCTCTGTCAGACAACAAGAAAACAAATAAACTGAAGTGAACACAAACATTTATTCAACCTGAAATGAATTTGATCTTAAGTCGTACGTGTTTTGGCGCCTTTAGACGTGAAACGCAAACACTCTTCATGAACTGTGTCATGGATGTTACATGGCACGCACAGCAGCTCCACCTCCCCAGTCCAGCTCMTGAGTTCAAAAAACCTGCACATGCAAACCACACACGCTCGCATTTAAAACCTAACAAACACAGTTGTGTTGATTGCTGTGTGTGTGTCTGTGACTAACCCCGGGAGGCACCGGTCACACAGCCGGTCAGAGGTGGGCGAACACTCCGCCTCCACCAGGCGGTTCAGCAGATTGCACTGGGTGCATCTCCTGCAGGGAGCCACCCCCGTTTCTGTGCTGAACGTCCCCTCCTCACAACCAACGCACACCCCATCCCCGCCGTATCCAAAGCCACAATCCTGAAAATGATGCACAATGTGGAGACAACAAACACTCTAAGAAACGAAATGTTGGATTAACTTAACCATGTTATGTCAACTGGTTCCACTTAACTGAGCTGAGTAAATCCAAAGCAATATACCCWATTTCTAACCAAAGAACATGAGTATGTTGCTCTGAATTTACTCAACTCAATTAAGTTGAACCAGTTGACATAACATGGTTAAGTTAATCCAACATCTGTTTTTAGAGTGAACAGATGGGGAAAAGAATCTGCAAAAAGCAAACAAACAAAAAGAAAACAAGTACGGTACCTCTGACAGCTGTTCTCCAGGCTCACACACAGGACATGCAACACAGGCGCCATTAGGGTGTAAGAACTCCGCCAGATCACACCTGGGCTCAGACCACACCTGAGCACAGAAAAACTGAACACAAAGAAGAATTCAGGGTTTTCGCTTAACAGCTTTGGTTCTTTACTTCGACAGCAAAATGTACAATTCTAAAGAGGCTATTTAGGTTTTATTATATACTGAGCTCAAAACATAAGGAAATCAGTGTTAGGTAGATGATTTCTTTCTTGTAAAAATGCTTCTTGGCAATAAATTTTACATCGCGCAGCTGACTGGCAGCACCTGGATGTACCAGAAGCTCAAAACAAGTGAAACAGAAAAATAAGCTGTTTGACAGAGAAGATTTGGCAAATTTTTCATGCGTGCAACCCACATACTCAGCTATACTGCACATCCCACAGATGCATGTTCCTTACAAATGTGGCACCATTTAAAAGGGAAATTAACAAGCCTTCCAACAGTATAAGATTTGTTGCAAAGAAGCATTCTTATAATAAAGAACTAATCTACCAAACACAATTTTCCATACTTTTTGAGCAATATTTAATTTTTTCTACTTTTTTATTGCTTGAAATACAAACCACTAATGTTTAACCAAAATTAGCAAAAAACTCTTTCAGAAAATACGAGACTTATATTGTTGACCATATTTTACCTACACAGAATTTATTATTGCAGCTTTTGTTGTGGTTGTTTTTTCTTAAAGGAGGCATATCATGCCTTTAAATCCTTCTTTTTCACATTTAAATCATTCCGTTGGGGTCTTTATAAAGTGGAACTGCAATGTTTTGGTCTGAATTCCTCCTTGTTGTAACTCCACAAACCCCTCTTTCACCACTTTAACTGAAATGTGTCTCAGATGAACTCGTTTTGAGGCTGTCTCTTTAAATCCAAACAAGGCGCTTTACACTCCGGCCCCCTCCAGCTTCCGGAGAAGTGGATTTTGCATATGTGCCCTTTAAAGAAAATATAAATTCTTAACTCAAATAAACAAAAAAAATATTTTCTGTTTTCTAAAACAAGGTTGTTTTGAGGATAAAAACCTGTATCTTATTTCTGTCTGTCAATAAAATAAAATAAAATAAAAAAACATGCAATGGAGTTGGGAACACTATTTATCCCTTTAGAATATTATGTTCAGCACGGCTTCAAGTCATGAGCTTAAAATTTTAGTTGACTGTTGTATAAAACTCAAAACCTTTTGATTACGTTATTACCACCTCACAGATGTAAARTCAGACGTACCAAAAGAAGAGCAGCAAAGAGACACATGTCCATCTCAGCCTTGTGCCACTTCCACTATATGCCCCACCTTCAGAATTAAATTTCAGATTTAAACTCACAATAATTACACAATGAAAAAAACAAAACAAGGAAATGAAAAATTTTAAACATACCTGACAGATTTCAGGAACTCATAAAACACTGGGTTGTAGTTTTGTCTTATTTGCTCCAAACTCTGAAGAGGAGGAGGACGGTGGTGGGAAAGGGTTTTTGGGAAATCCCATCATTCTACATCACCTGTGACGCAGGAGGGGTTCCCGACCCGACAATTGCCCACCCTCCGACGAAAACAACCCCCACATACAAGGACGCCTCACGTCACAAGTCAACTCCTCAGGTTTCCTCCGGGGAACCTGCCTGTTTTATTCCTGACCACTGAGACAAAAAAGGGGGACTGCAAATGGGATGAATGAGAGCCTTGTCAACAGATCTGAACGCAACAAAAAGAGACTTTGTTGGTATGAGGGTGTGTGACGGCTGAAATTCAGTCTTTCCTGTTTACAATTGAAGATCATTATAACTGAAAAAGTTTAGAAAATTACTAAAACCTTAAAAATGTTATTTACTTTTTAAAACACTTGATAGAAGTGTGAAAACAAAATGAACAAAAGGAGTTAAAATTTTATCTTAAAGTCACTAAAACCTTTACCACCCTGATATCATGAGTAAACAGAACTGTCCTCAACTCTGGACAGCTGAACATCACATGAAAAAGCTAATTAGATTTGTTTGGATAAGCTATCACTTGTTCAATTGTATAGCACAACAAAATTACTCTTACACACACACAAGTTTATGTTTCTATTCTTATTAAGACCGTTCATTGACTTACATTCATTTCCATTAGTTTCTCTTACCTGACCCTGACCCCTTACCCTAAACCTAATCTACACTCAATGCACACCTTGGTCCTAAACCTAAATCCCGACTCAAAAATGGAGTTCCACCATATTGGGACTGGTCTTTGGTCCCCATAAAGACCATTAATCTTGACAAGGTAAGTCTTTAAACCAGAAATGATCCTACACACACACACACACACACACACACACACACACACACACACACACAC